ATGAAAATACATGAGTTACACAAAAAAGAAAATGACTGCCCCCTAGTAAACTGTTAAAGTTCACCATGAAACCAACCCTTCACCGTTACCTACTAAACCAGGCCCCAAAAGGTATTAAGATTTAACACCTGACATTCAAACATAGATAAAAAGTAAATGGTTATTACCCATTGTAATAATCCAAAAGAAAACCACCGATGTAATTGCATGTTCTAAACCCTCAGAACCATTTGATAAGTTATTTGTATCTCTATTGAGACTACTAGAGGAATTTTTACTCACTATTTAATACCTATTTCATTTAATAATTGAAGAAGTGTTTGTTATATCCGATGATCGGCAAATTTCTGCAGTTTGCATTAGTATATTCGAATCATTATTGCTATTACTATTACTATTACTATTGCATTTTATTCATTTTATTCGTTTTATTCGTTTATTCGTTTTACAAAATAAATATAAAACATTAATTCACAACTTGATGCAACAAATTTTATATATTGTTATTGTTGTTATTGTTAAAAGATTGTAAATTATAAATAAGGTCTTATTTCCTTTAACAAGATAGTATGGTTATATTTATAATCTATATTACTACTACTACGGTTACTAATATTACGGCTTAAGAAAAATGTCAATTACTTCTGCTACCATTATTTATCATTGTATATAAGGACTGAGCAAAAGAAAAAGTATTTTAATTGTATTGAATTAGCAATGTACATATCAGATATATTTATTTTATTCGAATAAACTTTCAATGTAATTTGAATACTCAAATACATGATAATAATAACGAATAATTCAAATAAAAACCCTATTTAAGAAAATTTTTTTGGCCCGATATTTATTGAAGTTTTCCGATAAAATTTTCCCAAACCGGGCATCTCTCCCGATATTTTTGATCACACATTTCGCACCCTGGTAAAGATGAATTTATTATTGCAAAGTAACTTAATCAATCAATATTGATATTATGAAACTTCCATAATTATTTACACAGTAATTGATAATAATTATAAAAAGATTTTGCGTAAACTAAAATTAGTTGATCCTGGAACATAAAATACCGAATTCCTAATCGATGATTTTATCTACTCTGACCATGTATCACGTTATTAATAGAAATGTTCGAGTTTAGTAGTAACTGATGAATCAAAGGGAGATTTGGATACACAAAAAAATTGAGAGAAAACCTTGAAGCATATACAGTTTTTTTTTGTGAATTTTGATATTTATTAGCCATTAATATTAATGGAAGAGAACTTGATGTAAATGGTTTTACAACTTTGGTAACATTGGTTGAAAATTTCCTCATTGGGTTGATTAATTTTTCATGCAGATCAACCAAAGTGAGCAAGTAAATAATGAATGTTAGTCTATCAGCTTCATTTAGCAACTGGTTCTCTATAATAGCTAATTATTAATAAATTTGTACAAATTTTATCTACTAATAAAAATTTTTTGACCGTAGCCCTTTAATAAAATACTTTTAAAGAACAAAATTGGCGTCACTTTTCCAAGTATCGTTTTTATGTGTAACGCTGATCTATCCATAAAAGAATTTTCAACATCTTGCTGGCGTGTAAATTTCGTCGTGTAACTAGTACAAATTTAGAAACTATCTACAGAAATTCTAACTTTGATTGGATAATAATGTTACACACATCGCACCTTCAATTTTATGAATTCAATTTTTGAAAATTTTTTGTGACACGGTAGTTTTTTTTATTATTAGATCATGAAAAAAATTGTCAATAAACAAAATAAACAAATTGATTCCTTCTCTTATAGTTAAAATATAAAATAAAATAATGACTTATTTTGCTGCAAATTAATTAAGCTATTAATTAATATAATCAAGATAATCAATATGATAATTATAATTCACATAAAAAAATAATTCATGTGACTTTGTATAATAATTGCCGATCTCCCGGGTTATTATTAATAATAACAATATAATAAATAATCGTTGATCGGCGGATCACGAATTGATCCGATCATCGGTCCAAAAATCGTCGAAGAATTTTGGCGCAAATGTTCAAATTTGGAAGTAAATTTTTGTGGCAACCATTTGAAGGTTCGCAAACACTTCTTTGATAGTTGTACATTTTTATATGTTTTTAAACATTAAGATAGCAAAAAATAATATCACTGGATGCAATAATCTTGGAACAATTAATATTAATATGTTAAGGTTTAAATTTAAATAAATAGAACAAAGAGTATATTATCTTTAGATTGTCAAGCTACATGCATCTTCCATATTTTACCTCTCTCTACGCCCCAGAATCATTCAAACAATAATGATTATATTTTGGGAAAATAAATGCAATTCCATATTCGTCCAATTAGTAAAATGCATCGAGAAAAGCCCAAAAAAAAATTTTTATTTCTACGAATTCATTATTATTATGTATTTATATATTGTTGTTTATTTTATTTATTTGTTTTTTTCTACCTTAAATTTCTGTCATACAAAAACTTATTATTAAACAAGCATAGTAATAGTAATAGTGGAAATTCTATTTATGTCATCACTGTGATAAATTTAATTTATGTTGTACGACGTAAATTCATAATTGTTTAAAGTACGTCAGGTGTTGTTATGGGTAACACCATCATTAAACAGCTATTTTTTAAAAAAGAAATTATGCAGTTATTATCTTTTCCTTACGCACTTTCATTTAAAGATTTGGGATATGTTTGGATGCGAATCAATCTAAAGGTTACATATGAAGCAAAAATTGCATAATTTTTACTCAAATAAACGGAATTCAATATATAATATATAAGGTAGATAAAAATCTATTATAAAATATATGAATGATATGATATAGGACGATACTTCATTGACACTCACTAGTTAACCAACAACGTTAGTTTTACCTAACCTCGCTTGCTTGCTCACTAAAGCAAATAAACGTGGCTTTTTACCAAAGCTCCACAATTGTTAACTACACTTGTTGCTTTTATCAAAATGCTTTAAACAAAAAAAATCAAGACAATGTTTTTATTTTTAAAAGTTTATTAACAATTAATTTTATTTAATAAAATAATGATTCCATCAGAATTTTAGAATGTTAAATTATCTATTATTTTTCTCTGCGAAATTTTCGTTGTTCACTACAATAAGGTTAATATTACAAAACTTTGATTTTAGTCATTGATGTAACTAAAGTATTGACTAAAGGTAGTTTCTCACCAGAGCCATTTAACTATTGATTAAAGTAAAAGCCTTGACGTAATTAAAAACACTTGATGTAAGTAAAAACACTTGACGTGAGTAAAAACATTGAAGCAAGTAGAAACGCTTGACAAATAAAAACACTTGATACAGCAATAATGATGATGATAAAATAGGATTATCAAAAGTTCCAAATTATGTAAAAATGTGTCTCAGGTATCAGGAAATTCAATATGTAAATTTGGCAAGGATCCTATATATAGTCATATTGTTGTTATACAACATATACTTTCAAAAAGGCCCTTAAAAACTTTGTAATTTCACGCACCCTCTTTAT